CTTCTGGGGAAATCATTCTAGCTTCCAAACAAAAACAGAAGTTTGTTGAAAATCCAGTACATCCAGATATTCGGTATTTGGAAGATTTCAGACACATTTTTGGAATGTTCTCAAAGTTGGTGTTTGGAGGTCGAAATACGTCCTATTTTCTCTGGCAGATAATTTACGTTTTCGTATGAAGGTACGGTATGGCACATATAGACATACTAGCAAGCTACTTCGTTTGATATTAGTTTTCCCACTGTTCACAATGCACTTTAAGTACAATGGTCTAAATAAAAATTATATAAAATATAGGAGGAAGTCATTCCTATAACTAAGTTTGTCAATACGTTCATAAGAATCGAAAATGGAAGTTACGAGTTGTAGCTAAATTATAGCTAAATTCGAAATTTTATAGTTTTAGTCTTTATGCTCCCAAGTCGTTAAATACCTCATCGGAAAAATTTGTCTCCATATGTCCTTATGGCCCTACACATAAGCCTGAACTTAAGCCTGTGAGCTCTATTAGCAGATTTGGTGAAGGAATGATTTGTTGATTCATGCTTTAAAAGGTAAAGGTTTCAGCTTTCGCAATCGATCGCAGTGTCGAATACTACTTCAAACAAATAATCCAATGAGAGAAAAGGTCAAGCAAGGAGGGCAAACTCAACAACTCGAGTCCGTCGGCATCTGCAATTCACAGTCTCCTCCGATTAGATGCCCGTGGCATCCGAAATGTTTTATTCTGTGTAAGTGTGCTTCCAAACCTAGGTTTCTCCCCAGTACACCCTTTAGTTTGGAAGTTTCAGCTTTACCTAATGATACTAAGTATTAAGTATCTTGTCCTCATCCACTAATGACTATCACTATGTCGTTATTCCAATGGGATGTGTGGTCCACGTCGTCGTTAGACCCTTATATAACGGCTACATTCGGTATTTTTAAGATTTTAACAGAAGTTTTAACGGATTTAATTTTTTTTTTTGAAAATTTCCAAATTCTTTCCAAATGGTGGAGGGTATTTTAATAATTTTGTCTAGTTAGTTTTGTATTTATATGGGAAGCTAAAACTGCATTGTACAGACCAGACACCTTGTTTAGTTTATTTTGTCTAACAGAACACTCACTCTGATGGAGATTAATCTGTATGTACTAGTCCCGATACAGGCGAATGGACTTGTAGGGGTTTTAAATCGACAGAATAGATGTAGAACCAAATTATTTATTGCTATTTTTCTCTTTTTCTTTTTTCTTTTCTCAAATTCTTGACCCGGGTTTTGTCGCAGCATTCCGTACTTGAAAGTAGGCTGGTGTGACCATTCCTACTATCTATTAAACCCAATTTTTCGTATGCATGTTTTTCGTTTGTATGTCCCATATATACTAGAAAACGGCAAATAGCAATAAACCATGAGAAATGACCGTTGCACCTCCCTCATACCCCCTTTTTTTAAAGACGCGAACTTATTAAAACATATAAAGCATGAGATGAAAAAACTGGAACCAACTTCAGACTGCTGTCATTTCTAAACCACTCGTCCGACAGCTGTTAAAATTATTCCAGTGACAGCTCATTATATTGTTTACAAGCGTCCAAAAGCATTTTGTTGAGAATTTTCCAGAGAAAAAGTTATTTGTGATGAAATTCAGGTGTGATTTCTTTATATTTGGCTGGAAAACCACAAGTGGCTATCGTTAGAGCACTCCAGCATTTAAATGTGAAAATCTTTTGTGTCTTGTACCATCGCTTGTTACGGTGGTACTGGTAGCGTAGCCCGACATTGAGGAATGGTTCGAGAAGTAAAGAACCGACTTGATCGAAACCCGCGTCGCACCGGCCGAAAAGTCGCTCGTGAGCTGCATAAATCCCAATATCCCATTCGGCAAGTATTGAAAAATGAGCTCAGTTAAAGCTATTGAAATTAAAAAAAGTGCAAGAACTTACACCGCAACAGAAAGAAAATAGACTCAAAAGAGCTAAAGAGTTGCTTCGCTTGGCCGAAAGTGGTGAACTGCCGAATTTGGTTTTCTCCGATGAGAAAACATTCGTTGTCCAGCAGTTTGTAAACAAACAAAACGATCGTGTTTACTTGCCAAAGAGGTCAGCTGAAAATGTGCACCTTCGGCTGGCCACCAGAACTCAAGCGCCGGGCATGGTTGTGATGTGGGCCGCGATTACAGCCGAAGGTCGGCCTCCGCTCGTATTAATCGACCTTGGCATCAGAATAAATGCCGAATATTATCGCGAAACTATTCTAGAGGGTATATTAAAGCCTTGGGCACTCAGACATTTTAGCCCCAGACTTTGACATTCCAACAGGACTCTGTATCATCACTCGCCACTTATGAATGCTTACAAAATGCGGTTCCTCGATTCATTTCCAGCGCAGAATGGCCACCAAAATCTCCGGATACCAATCCGTTGGACTATTGTTTATGGAGTATTTTGGAAAGTGTAATGGACACGAGTAAATTTCGTTCAAATGCATATTTTTAATAATATTCGAGGAATTCGATGATTTGATAAGTCGGTGGGAGCCTTTTGTTCCCTAGCATATACAAAGAAAGTATTTTACCTTATAAAAAGAGAAAGAATCATCCAATTGAAAATCTATGGAAATTGTAATTAACGTATCAGATTTGAATATAGCTCCCATACAAGGTGTCGTCCGATTTCATAAGTAGTGCACAATACAATACAAATGCGTAATATACGTCCGAATCGAAATAATTTAGGTAGACGCAGCCAGGTTCAGTCTAGAAGTATGTCTGACAATCGGTTCAGATTTCGATGCTCCCATATATATTTTCGTCGGATTTAAATTTTATTGTGCGCCACATGTTTAATATGTATCCAATATGGATGGATTTCGACACATCCGATTGAATGAAACCCTGAAGCAAGTACTTCTAATTTGGTGAAAATCGGTATAGATATAGTTATATCTCCCATATATATGATTCATCCGATTTGGGTTTTAAGTCCCTCACATTCGTAGTCTGCACATATAGATCCCATATATATCTTCATACAATTTCACATTTATTGTGCACCAAATATGTAATTTTAGGTCAACTTGGCTGGATTTTGGCACATTCAACTGCATTTATCCTAGCAAATACGACACTGGTTGAAACTCTCTCTATATATATATATATATATATATATATATATATATATATATATATATATATATATATAATCTCCTTAGATATTTTTTAAGCGAAAGGATGCATTAGCGCCGACGGTGCGAAAACGCACAACACGTACATATCCAAAACGTTTATATGTACAATTTTGAAAATTTTATGAGTTAAATATAGAGCAAAGGGCTATAAAATATATTATTTTTCTATATGTTTTCTTTGTATAATAGGGTTATTTTTTGCACGTGGGAAAACCTGCACTTGGCGATGCGTTTATCATCATGTAGGTGACGTCTGATGAAAAAACAGCCAAAATCAAATAAATAGACCCATCAATCTACTATCTATACCAAGAAACAAAAAAGCGATATCAAATATGAAACCGTTTCTATGCATGCTAAAAAGCACCTCTATTTTTCGTGCGTTTTCGCACCCGTCGGCGTTAATGGGTTAAAAATAGGCCATGTATAGCCCCCATATAACGAACTTTATTTACCGGAATTGTTTCAAATTTGGTATTTGAAGTTTGCAACGGATACTACAGCCTAAGACAAAAAATTGTCTGCGCAGGTCCACGTCTTCCTATAGCCCCCATATATCGGTACCCCCTCCTTTATTCGGTATTTTGTTGATTTTAGCGACATTATTCACCGGAATTTTTTTCAAATTTCGTTTTTGAAGTTCCTAATAGATACTACAGCCTAACACAGGAAATGGGCCATGTAGGTCTACGTCTTCGTATAGCCCCCATATAGCGGTACCTCCCGATATTCGGTAGTTTGTTAATTTTGGTGACATTATTTGCCGGAATTGTTTTAAATTTGGTATTTGAAGTTCGTAATGGATACTTCATCCTATGACATAAAATTGTTTGTGCCTACTATAGCCTAGCACACATGTCTTCATATAGCCCCCATATAGCGGTACCTCCTGATATTAGGTATTTTGATGATTTTAGCGACATCATTTACCGGAATTGTTTCAAATTTGGTATTTGAATTTCGTAATAAATACTGCAGAAAATGAACCAAGTAGGTCCACGTCTTCGTATAGCCCCCATATAGCGGTACCTCCCGATATTCGGTATTTTGATGATTTTAGCGACATTATTTACCGGAATTGTTTAAAATTTCTCATTTGAAGTTCGTAATGGATACTACATCCTATGACAGAAAATTGTTTTGTGCAGGTCCACGCCTTCGTATAGCCCCCATATAACGGTACCACCCGATATTCAGTATTTTGATTATTTTAGCGACATTATTTACCGGAATTGCTTCAAATTTGGTATTTGAAGTTCGTAATAGATACTGCAGCTTAAGACAGAAAATGGACCATGCAGGACCCGTCTTCGTATAGCCCCTATATAACGGTACCTCCTGACATTCGGTAGTTTGATGATCTTAGCGACATTATTTACCACATTTTTTTTCAAATTTAGTATTTGAAGTCCGTAATGGATACTACAGCCTATGACAGAAAATTGTCTGTGCAGGTCCACGTTTTATAACCCAAATGGTACCTCCCCATATTCGGAATTTTGATCATTCCCGGCCGAACTTACAGCTTCTTTACTTGTTTTTTAATTTATAATACCATAAGATTGTCAATTCCTCCGATTATACATCAAATAAATCCGAAGTTCTCTGAAGCGTCAACTCTTCCATATTCTAGTCCTATTGGCTATCTCTATAGTTTTGGCACTTAGGACACAGTTGTCAAAAAATTACAATTCTAAAACCTGTCCTATTTAGACATTTCTGCGGAAATTTGTGAGATAGAATGTGAGGACTAAGACACTACCTTATTTTACTGAATCACACTACTGACTTCATACATTATTTTAATTATTTAAACCTTTTATTAATTAGGAGTTTGCGGAATTTCAACAGTTGCTGTGAAAACATTAAAAGAAAATGCAACAGAAGCGGAGAAGAAGGATTTGCTGTCAGAATTGGAGGTAAGTGAACATTGCATAATTCCAAAACTTAACTAAGCATTGCGCAACTATAAGAATGATTACCACTTTGTTTGTGTGACTGTTAACATTCTGATGGGTACATATAAAAATGTGGGTTTAAGTGAAGACATTTTTTTTCGAGAATAACTGAACTAGTGTCCCTCCAACCCGTAAGTATGAACCACAACATTCTCGACATTTTGAGTAAATTGGGTAAAATTTTAACTATTGCATAAAAGTTAAAGTTTGATAAGTCAAGGACCGAAACACATGTCTGCACATACATTTCTAGAGGCACATAGACACTATAAATAAATTCTCGAATTTTCAAAACGTCAGCACAATAACAATAAATAAATAAATAATTATGGTTTTTATGAGTTTGAATATTTAATTATCATCACTTTGATACTAGCACCGTATTCACTTTTCACTTACGCAGTTTTTGAGTTTTTAAGGCAATCGTCACCATGCACTTTTGTATTTATATCTTTAGAATTGCACAGTAGATAATATACAAAATGTATTTCTTTAAAAGAAAAGAAATTATTTTTCTCAACCATTATATATTATTTTGCCTCACAATGTCTTTTATTTCCCCTATTTTCTACACTTCCACAATTGTAGATTTGTAAGATTTATGATGAAAAATCCTCCCATGAACAACGTCACTAACAGCGAAATATCCTTTGGAATTTAATACGTATCCGATTTTCAACATGAAAATTTGCATGGGAGTATTCCTATTTCAAACTGGTCCATCAAGTTCCCTGAATGTAGCATTACAAAAATATTTTGGGGTGGACGAAATACAGTTTTAAAATCTTTTTCTCAAAACATGAAAACCAAGTTATCTTCGTGTGCACCAATAATCGAATGACAGATGCAAGTACTGTACTAAATAAGTAGGGTTTCTAGAAAGAATATCGCACAAAATTGTTGACATCGGAAGGGCATTGTGGCATTCTCAAAAACAGCAATGTGATTGTGTAAAGCAACCAAGTTCAATAAAATTTTATGACATATAAAAAAGTAATATAGATGTAAGACAACTGACATTTGAAGAGAAAATAAGTTAAGTTTTGAACCCAGGAATCTCTTCCACTTTTCCAGTCGGTCTCCCTTGAAGGTTCCACCTCCTTTGTCTGCCGACTTCAATTTCCAGCGTTTATAATTTTCTGCCACTCCAGCCTGTTTTATTCTCGATGCACCACTTCCACTAGGCATCTTCATAACAACTTGAGCTTCCTTCAGCATCTTATTATTTCAGCGAAGCATATGGCCATTCTTCTTTGTGTTCATCTCACTGATAAACAGTTCATTCTTGACTTCTGTCGTGTTCCGTTTCCACTTCTCATTGTATGAGAGCTGTCCTCTCATGTCTTCGGGTCTTGATTATTCGTCTTTCATGGTGTTTTCTGCTATTTTTGCAGCGAACTCCACGCTCTGTTTCAGCTTCTCTACGGTCCTCCCGCATGACTTCAAGCATAACCTTAACATCCTCGGAATACAGCCTCGCTGCTGCATATGCCTGACTTTCGCTGATAGCAGCGACTATGTCCCTTGCCACGCCCCTTTTTTTGTGGCGAACTTTAATGCGCTATCTATAGCATTTTCCGTCTTAAATGCACTCATTATTTTAATGATAGTACCAATCATTTGGAGAACAGTCGCTATTTAAATGAGAACAAATATATACCTTTTGTGACATCAATCATCCTAAAAATAATATAAACGCCTGCGCAAAGTTTGGAAGATGCATGTTAAATTTGGCAATCTCTATCTTAATTGCAAATTGTGAACGGAGAGGCTCACGGACATAATTTAATCGACAAAGATTTTTTCTCTTATGTGGTCCCTAACTTTTATAAAACGATGACACCTTATGTACAAAATACCTTTTACATACTTTTGAGTGCGGTTAAGAGCTGGGAAAATCTAGCAATAAACACTAAAGGTTCTAAAATTACATTTTTCGCAGCCGCCATAAAATATGACATGTGACTGACGCATACGTTAATGTGTGAGATAATAATGGTTATGACCCACACACACAGATATCGATGTGCTCAGTGGTGCACAAGAACACTTGAATGAAATGAAAAGCAGCCCTGCAGTGTCCTCCATTCAATATTAGAATAGATAAGAATAATTGAGTGGCTGCGATTAGGTTAATTTACATTAGTTGCAGTTGCAACAAGTGAAGCGGTTGTATTCTTTTGTAAATATTGTGCACTCTGTGATAACCACTGATATTGCCGATATTCATGTTTTTTTTTTTTTTTAATTTGTTCTTCACCAAAAAATTCTCAAATAAAATGTAAACATATGTCTGTCTGTAAACATATGTCTACAACCCAAATAAAAAGGCGCTTCTGTTTTGATATACGACGGTCGGTCAAAGAACTCAAGCGTATAATTTACGATACGCCATAAGATTTTAACATGGTTTAATAAAGCATCTCATTTAAATTTTATAATTTACGTTATAGTATATTTTTATATAAATTTAACAATGATGATACCTCTCAATGTGTTCTGTTTTGGTTGACAAGTTTAGTTATTCTTTTGGTATCTTATAAATATTTGATATAAATTAGATAAAAAAATGACAACTTGATAAATCGATTGTAAATTTACAAAAGCGTAAACAGAAATCTTGACAGTTTGATGCAATTCCAATCAAAATAATCATGCTGTTGTAGCTTTTGACTCTCCTTATTAATTGCATCGTGGTCTAAACAAAGTCTTGATGAAACTTTCACTCTAAAAATTTCATATAAAATTAATATTAAATTATACGACTTCTCTGAATTTATTCTTGGTGTTTATTTCTACTTACAGAATATTGCATAAACACTTTCTTTATCCACCTATAAAAAATACAACTAACAAAATTGGAACATTTGTAATAATTATTACAAATTACCAAATTGATATACGAACGTATTGTATGTCATTTGTAACTTACAGAGTACATTTAAATACAAAGTCGAATATCGACTTCATCAACTTTGAGGTCCCTAGTTTTGAATTAGGTTCCACCATGGTTGCATTTCAATAAGTGATCATATGTGTCATAGGAATTGTAACTTAAATGTCACATTGAACTTAAAACCACGTTTCATCTTTCCTTTTTCTATATCAAACAGCGGTCAAATAAAGTAACAATTGTAATTGTGGTTAAGTTTAAATTTATAGTGAATTTTTTTTTTAATTTTATTAAAAAAAAAAAATTTGTGTGCTAAAAGCAAGATAGTCATCCATACGATAGTCAAAACTCAACACATTTTTTTATTAAATACTTTCACTAAATTATCACCTTGGGTAAGAATAACTCGTATTTAATATACTTTTTGTGTTGAATTGGTCATTTAGATGTGAATATATTCTTTCTTAAAAAGAATATTGTGGTCTAAATCCAGTAAAACCTGTATGGGTCTGGCCACAATATTCCTTAGGGTAAACTCTAGATTTCTTTAAGAAGTTCTGTCCAAAAATGCTAGATAGATGGTAACATCAAAATCCGATATGGAGACATCTATCTTATAACAAAATCAACACACCAAATACGAAAAGAAAATCACATTTCAGAACCAGCGATAATGGCCAAAGAAACTATAGATAGATGGAGACATAATTGTACAACATCTAGAGACATCTAGTTCCAAAAAAATTTCAACACGCCAATTAAGAAGGAAGAACCATGTGTTAGAACCATCATACTCAAAGAAAAAAATTTCCATTATTCGCCATCAGAAATCAATACACGTAAGTGAGTACCAAAACCAAGATAGAACATTGTGAATTGATACCATAAAAATAAAAAATTGATACCATAAAAAAGAAAGACGAAAATTTAAGAAAGAAAAATTCAAATCATAACCTATAAAAGCGGGTTTATAAACAAAAGCATGTTTTAAAGAAAACGCACATTTGTACATCTAATAATACATTATATATTTCAAAAGTAAAAAAACAAAAAATATCATTGATGTAAATGTGTTAAGTATAGGAAATTTAATTATACCCTAACTAAGAGCATACTTTAGGGGAACACAAAAGCACAGTATTTCGAAACCTAAATAAAAAAAAGCAATACAAAAATTATTTTTAAAAGTCATAATTCATTCTGGTTACCATAATAAAAGCTAAAAAAATCTATTCAAATGAAAATAATATAATATTTAATAAGCATGCTTTAAATAAATAAATATCATAGAACTACTATTAATACATCCTTTTTAAACGAAGTGAAAATTTGTAACATAGAAAAATATAGTCGAGATAGTATCATAAAAATTTGAATAAAAAGTAGATACAAATAAGAAGATATTGTTGTAAAGTATTTAAGAAAAGAAAATGAAATATAAAATTATATTTTTAAATATTTGAAATTTGACAGAACAAAATGTTTTGACTCCTAATTTAAATATGGTCTGAACAGTAATTATGTGGTAGATTCATCGAAAATGGGGTATTTCTATCTAGAGAATAATATGGCATAGGAGATACCATAGGATGGCTGAAAAGTCATAAGGGGTGGGTAGCCATGGAGGGTCGTCATCTTGACCTCATTTGACATGGATATCTGTATGTATTAATTTTGTTAACTAAATTGTGGAAAATATAAGGTTTGTAAATGGTTGTTTCCGGTTTACATTTTTTATCATTTATTCTTTCCTCCATTTCCAAATATCCTTTTTGAATTGAGTTAAACTAAAATTTCGTAACACAAAATCCCGGTACAAACAAATTTTATGTGTGCAGTCGATGCGCAGAAAGAACCTACACATCTGGCGAGCTAAGCCGCAGCCAAAAGCATCTTGTACCACTGCCGTAAGTAAAAACGGTTACATATATTCGAGCCCCACGTTGGGCGCCATTTGTTTATGTCTACCTTATTCGCATCATAAAAATTTGACCTACATATCATATCTTCATAAATTCTTTTGTAATTTTTATAAATCTTACAACCGCGCTATTAAACATTTTCATTT